ACCAAGTTGGACTTTTAAGTTCGGCTTAACAACACGTTCAACATTTGGGTATATCATCGTTAACTGCGAAATTGTTGCTTTGTATTCTGACTTGATTATTACAAGAGCAAATTTCGAAATGAATAAACCAATTATGACCATAGATTTGTTGTTGTTGTTATTATCTACTTTATATTTATCAAAGAATTTTCCTTGAAATTAAGTCCTTTTAAAAAGTATAACTACGTTAGTAATAGGTTCTCTTGGTTGACTATCTGTTATCGTATTAGTCAATTAATCTAGCTCTTGATTAAAAATGTGATTAATTGATGCTTATTTATTGATTCGTGTGATACCTTTTTTGGTGACGGGCGATGTGTACACATCTTAATTGTTTATTACACTTATAGGTGTAATTACTACTAGGTCCACCTTCATTTCTAGGAAATTCGTATCTTTATGAAGATTGTAACCCATCTCTTCCTTTCCATAGTCTACATTTTGACCTGACGTAGTTATTTAAAAGCTAATTTCTTTTTATTTGGTAATAAGCTGGAAACGGCAATATATAGGATGATTTTTCAAGGAAAGGTAAAAATATAATCGTGGATTATCAAATTAAAGGACAGGTTCCCTTAGGAGTTTAAGATACCGCCAAATTTTTTGAGTTTCTTAGAATAGCTAGAGGCAGTGAGGTAGTTAGTGATATGAATAACGAAGAGGCAATTAATGGAATTTCAGCTCCAAGATTGAGGAATGGGGGAGCTCCTATATCCAATAAAGAATCATATTATAGACATGGCTGGTGCGAATATTAGGATTCCTTTATTAATAATAAGGGCTCGGGAGTTTGTTATTTCGTAGGCTGTTCTAGTTATAAATAGGGAGATTGATCATCAGAAATTGATAGACGGGGATAGTGATGTTTGAATTATGGAGAATTCTTGCGATTGAATACGAGTTATTAGAATATTTTAGTAATAGGGGGAGCGAAGCTCTTATGGTATAAATGATGAAGTAGGTGCCTGCTTGTAGTCGTTTGGGTTGTTACCCTCATTTTTGGATAAGGAATAAGGTAGGAATTAATGTAAATTCGAAAGTAAAATAGAATGTTAGGGGAGATTTTATAGAGAATGCTAGAGTGATAGATGTGAATAGGGCTATAATTGATACAATAAATAAGGATCTGTTATTTCTTTTAGTGATTTTCAGTGAGGCCATGATTATAAGGGCGGTAATTCATAATAAGGATGATTAGGGTGAATGATACATTATCTATAAACAATAAATTTGATGAGTAGGTAGAGAATATAGATATTGCTGTTATAGGCCTGATAATTATTATAATTATACCAATTAGAACATAAGTGTCTTCTACTGGGCATCCTCCAATTCATGTTAGAATTAGGATATTGGCTACAAAGATTCAAAATAGAATTTGATTAGGGAAGGAGAAAGCAATTCCTCGAGATTTAGGTCTTGCCGAGAATGGAGGAGTAAGAAGTACTAATACCGTGGCGGCTCAAAATCTTATTTAGATGCTCCTCCGTCCATTTGCGGATAAAATACTATAAGAAATAAGTTAATCTGGATAGAATCAACAGATAAAGAAGAAAGTGAATTAATACGATACTACATAGAGATTTTATTCGATGAAAAAGGTGAAATCATGGGTTTAAATGGGTAGAAACGTATAAAGAAGACGCTTGAGATGATGACTAGATACTCAGACCAGCAAATGAAAATAAAGCTATTTAAAAAGCAGGATTTTTACCTCTACAATAACGATGGAGTTACAACTCTTCTTCTTTAATAATTTCTTCTCAAATTAGACGGCCATTTAAGCATAAATTTACATAAATTCGTTTTTCAATGTTTTGACCGTATGAGGTCAACTTCTGATGAATGTGGCTGCCACATCATTAGATTACATTCAACTTCCACTGGGTACCTGATAGAGATTAGTTATTTGTATATTATCAATCTATAGATTATCTGTTAACGTTCCAACCATTAGTATGTAGCATAAAAGGCTTTCCTCTTGTAGTATTTACTGCATTGCTGATCGTGGATTTGTATTTGTAGCGATTCCACCAATTATTATTTTCCGTCGGTGTCTCAACAGTAGTAGGTGTATTAATCCTTTCTCGCCCCGTTCGTTGCCTGTCTTTTTCCGCTTCCTGTCAAACATTTGCGGTTGTCTTCGTCATCTTCTACCGCAATTAGTTTCAAATACACTTTAATACACTTTATTCTTGAAAAGAAAATATGATACATGACTACAATTAAATAATCAGGATATTGAAGATCGAATAGATTAGTGCATTCCGGATAAACAGTTTTTAATGTGTTTTAAGAAGAGATGCAATACTTTCGCCAATCACATAAAAGACACCGAAAAAACATTCGAAATAATCAAAACAAACAAATAATATCTTTTCTATTTAACGACTTTGCGGTAAAAACTGAAAAGCACTCAAAGAAATATATAATAAAAAAACGTTGTCCAATTAATTAGTTCCAAAACTCAGCCTATAATTAAAACAACAACAACAACAACAACTCACAACGTGGCTATCACGTGACTATTTTGTATAAATATAGGAGAAAATTGACGGTGGATTGTCAGTTACCAAATTGAGAAGACCCCGTCGTTTTCTCTGTCAGATTTTTCTCTGATTTTATACATTTTTCAATAAGTTTTTTCAAGGATCTCGCAAAAATCAAAAGACAGAAAATGGAATTGTCATTTACTCAAACATTTGTCATTCCATAATTGATTTAGATGAAATGATTAACATGATTCTCTTAACCCCAAGCATTTCTCCATCCACTTGACACTCATTTTGGTAACTTAGGAAATGCAACATGGCCTAAAATTGCATGTTGCACCCTTTTTTTAACTGAAAATAAAAGCCGATAAATAATTCGGCAAAAAGAACATGTCTCGCTTAAAGTTGGTCATGTTTTTTACGATGGAACTTTGTCTCGTGCTCTTTCACCGGAAGTGACGTCATGGATTTCCATGTAATTCGCCGAATTTACAACCTCAACTTTCTCTTTTTTTTCCGTCAACTGGAAAAGAATCTCTTTGTTCAATAAAAGTGAAATTTGCAGTATAAATCGTAGGGTAAATATTTAGTTAAAATGTATATGATTTTTGTATATTTACTTACTAATATATATGTATTACCTTTTAAAGTGCATTTGGAAAAAGCCGGAAATGACATCACTGAATATCGGGAATAACCGTAGAATATGAGTTTCGAAAATGGAGAGTTTCCGAAACGAAGGGAGAAATAGAAAAATTGGAGAAAAAAGGCGTTAAAGATGAGCTGAAGCGTTTTCTGAAAAGCGAAATGAAAGATAAAGAATAAAAGAAATGGGTAAGTGAGATTTGTATAAATGAATTATACGTGATTTAAAGAATATTCTTTTCAGATTGTTTTCCTTCATGTTTAAAAGAGGACAATCGAAGACAATGAAGAAAGTTGTGCTTTAAGCCAAAGTGTATCAAGACCCATTCGAAACAATACATTTAAAAGATTGGAAGAAACTTTTCAAAAAGTTGTAAATTTTCGAGGGAAATGTCCATATCTGAGAAAAAGCAGCGTATAGAAGATATTGTTTTAAGCGAAAAATTTTTAATGAAATGTAATAAACGAAAATGAAGAAATCTCGTTTTAAACAAAAAAAATTTCAAGATAACTATCGGAAACTATAGACACGAAAGAAGAGAAGAGACTCTTCAAAAAGTCCTGTATTTGAAGTCAAACGTGGATATGTCTAAAGAATAATATGAGAAAGATTTTGAAAATGATATCACTAAACATTTGTCATATTTATTCAAATAGAACCTCAAGTTCGTACACGAGTATTACAAGACAAGGTGAGTATTGAATATTCTGAGCTATTATCTCTAAGCAAGCGGTTAGAAAACCAAGCTAACAACTGTTCAATTCGTATGGTTTAAATGCTTTCCTTAACAGTTTAACAGTTCACAATTTCAAAGTTCCAACAATGGAAAGTAACGTTTGACACAATTGAAAGCACTACAAATGGTTCCACATTTAATTCGTCCCATGCATCCTTTGGAATTGGGTTGGATAAGTCAGATATGATACCGTCATTGACTCCCCTAGATCGTCAATCGCAAAATTTAGAGGACAACGATTCATTAGGTTCTCGATCGCCGAGACAGTGAGGCGAATGGTATATCCCAACTTGGATACTTATTTATTTTTATTTTGCTGGTGAGCATCATCCCCTTTATCAGGCCGATTCGCAATTTTTAGGACAGTCCTTTTATAATTCCTTGTTATGCATAGTTTACATCTCCTTAGGACGTCTTTTATTCCTGTCGTATCGTGGAGGAGATGCAAATGTTTTGACAATTTTGACCAGATGACCTTGAATGACGCATGGTTCATTTCGTGGTGTGTATCATACATTAATCTATTAAGGATAGGATGGCGAGCGTTGATTATTTCATTGTCCCTGATTCTATCTGTTGACTGGAAGTTCGAATTGAACCTCAGGATCCAAGCCATTACACGCCTCATCTTAGACCATTCTCCCATTATTTCTAGGGGTGAAATCGGAGGTTATCATATTGATCGTAATATTGAGTGTATAATGTTCGATCTCTATTTCTTTAAATACTTCCCATTTCTCCCTCATCTTTCTTTACTTTTTGTCAGGTAATCGGCAGGGTTATCCTCCGATCTAATGAAACACCAACTGCCTTGCGATTTAGTTTTCGGTATTAATTTCACAGTTAGACGTACATCATTTGCCAGTTTCAAGTCTCCATTCTCTAAGTCACAAAGTACTATTTGACTGTCAACGAAAACTTTGATCCGAATGTCTGGGAAAATGGTTTTATAAACCTTAATGAAAATTTGCGGCTCATAAGGCTGCCGTCAATTCTGCTCGAGGGAAAAAAGCGAGAAGTAGATGCCAGCAAATAGCCTTTATTGCTAGTGGCAATATCTCGTCTAGATCTGGAATATAGGTTAGCCCTAATCTACTCTACCACTGGGTACTGATGGCTTAGTATAATTCGGATTAATATATGTATCGGGCTGTTCCCGTATGAGGGATAATGAGTCTACAACGTAGGTATCGACATCATATTTCCTACCTAAATAGAGAAATATGATTCTGACTTTTTCTGTTGTTATAGTTTGGAAATTGTTGTTGACAAATGATATGTCAATCTGACAAAGATTTCTGGGATTTGTTGAATATGATATAGACTCTAAGTATTGTCTGCTAATCAGGGAAATGAGGGCTGTAATTTTATGATCCATATAGTTGCCTGATGCTGGAATTTTTACAGTTGCAGCATATACTCTTTCTCTCTCTCTTATCTCCTTTGTGTGTCGTGGCTCCTTGTGATATAAAGATGTGTGATGTGATTGATTGCATTGTTTGCAGCTTGGCCAACTCGAAGGCAATTTCAACAACGGTTAAATAGTTCAATCAGTCTTTATCTGCCTTTAATATCAGCACTTATGTCTGTTAAGTGATGTGGTCGAAGGAACTCTGTCCTTAATCTTGGCCTCCGAATTCGGAGAAAGGTGTTTTTCTTGTATTTTGTGTAGACATTTTTGGAAGATCTTTGATTCAGGGAGTTTTCAGTTTGTTTGGTCATGTTGGAAGCTAAAATATTTGACTCTATTGTCTTACAGATATAAGTAATATGGATTTTTAATGACTTTCGATATGTATTGACCAAATTTAGACACTATGGAAGGTGTTGGTTAGTAAAGTAAACGAAGAACCTTTGTCATTTTTGCCGCCATTTGTATATGATGTTGAGTTATTTTGAAGTTTTGAAAGTTCGACAAACCTCCATTTTGGTCTTCGACCGTTGGAACATGTTCCATCTCTTGCATTTGAATAGAGACAGCTGATTTATGTGATTCTTTAGTCGAATCTGTTTGGGTAGAACGTATCATATTTATACATGAATACATTTATATACTGTATATATTAATGTAAGCCGTTAAGAAATAAATTTGGCGGGTGACTAAGACTAGTCGTTAATTAGAATGATTGATAAACACAAAAGAAAAATGCAAAGGAACCAGCTACGACAAACTTATCGTTCGCGTTATCGTTGCTTACATTAGGACACTTCAACATTAGAAGCTTATAGGAGTAAATAAAAAAACCTATACGATAAACATTTCTGGTGTGTTTTTGAGAAAAAAGAGCCAGTGATAAAGTAGAATGTGAACAGTCTAAAAACACTTTCCACCGTTTTCAACAATTGAGAGATAAAGATTACTCCATACACCTTTAACCTATAAGAAAACGGTATCTCACTGTGTGTAACATACTCGAAGAAACTTAGAACCTTACAATGGTGTCCCATAACAATATTGCATACGCGCGGATCTACAATCTTCAAATACTTCTAGCGTAAACTGCTTCAGCCAGGTTCTCTTCTTTGAAAACATTAAAAATACCATAATTTCTTCCTAAACTATAGGAGCGTTGCAGTATCCTTTACAAAATTCGCAGTCCGATGTCAACATAACGGGGTCAACTACTGGTGAGGGTAACGACTACGTCGTTAGATCAGGTACCGTCGTTGTGGTGGTGGTCTCCTACGGTTGTTAGACCAAATCAAATCTATCAACAACTTTAGTTCTGGAGAGAATTTTTAGTTAATTGTTCTCTGCACTTAACAACTATTCAACAACAGGATATAGAAGATCCAGCATATTACCATATTATTGGATAATCACCTTCAAAGGTGTTTTCAGAAGAGATGCAAAACTTTCGACAATTACGTAAAAGATACCGAAAAAACACTCGAAATAATCAAAACAACCAAATATCTTTTATTTAACGAACTTAATTTAAAAATTCAAAAATAGAAATATACAATAAAAAACATTGTCCAATTAATTAGTTCCAAAACTCAGCCTATAATTAAAACAACAACAACAACTCACAACGTGGCTATCACGTGACTATTTTGTATAAATATAGGAGAAAATTGACGGTGGATTGTCAGTTACCAAATTGAGAAGACCCCGTCGTTTTCTCTGTCAGATTTTTCTCTGATTTTATACATTTTTCAATAAGTTTTTTCAAGGATCTCGCAAAAATCAAAAGACGGAAAATTTCAATTTTCATTTTCTTAAACATTTGAAATGATTAACATGATTCTCTTCACTCCAAACACTTCACCAATCCCACTTGACACTCATTTTGGTAACTTAGGAAATGCAACATGGCCTAAAATTGCATGTTGCACCTTTTTTTAACTGAAAATAAAAGCCGATAAATAATTCGGCAAAAAGAACACGTCTCGCTTAAAGTTGGTCATGTTTTTTGCGGTGGAACTTTGTTTCGTGCTCTTTCACCGGAAGTGACGTAATGAATTTCCATGTAATTCGCCGAATGAACAACCTCAAAATTTTCTCTTTTTTTCCCGTAACTAGAAAAGTTTCTCTTTGTTCAACAAAAGTGAAATTTGCAGTATAAATCGTAAGGTCAGTATTATGGGAAAAAATGTGATTTTAGTACATTTTAGTACATATTTATATATGTAAAATCTTTTAAAGTTAATTTGGGAAAAGCCGGAAATGACATAACTGAAAATCGGGAAATAACCCTCGAAAGTGACTTGAAAATGGAGAGCTTCCGAAACGAATGAAGAAATAGAAAAATTGAAGAGAAAAGACGTTTAAAATGAAATGCAGTATTTCCTGAAAAACGAAAAGAAAGATAAAGGGAAGAAGAAAAGAAACAGAGAAGTAAGATTTATATAAATGAAGTAAACATGATTTAAAGGACACAGTTCTTTGCAGATTGTTTTCCTTCATATTTAAAGAACACAATGGACGACAATGAAGAAAATTGTGCTTTAAACTGAAATTTATCAACATCCATTCGAAACAACACATACGATAGATGATAAGAGTCTTTTTCGAAAGTCATGTTTTTTCGAGTGCGATGTTGATAAACGAAAAGAGACGATTGAAGAAGATGTTAAACCGAAATTTATCAATGAAATATAATCAACGAAAATCAAGAGATTATGCGTTAAACCAAAGTTATCAAGGAAACCAGCGGAAACTATACTTACGAAAGAAGAGAAGAGAGTCTTCAGAAGGTTGTACTTTTGTAGTCAGACCTTGATGCCTACAATGACTAATACGAAGAAGATTTTGGTTAAACAGAAAATTACCAATGAAGCATGGGAAATAATAGAGAATGTAATGGGAAATACTATCTACAATAATTTGTTATTTATCAATAAACTACAATCAGCTATGAAGAAGATCGTTTTTTAATTGCAGTAAAGTGTATGAAAACTTTCCGAACGTACGATATTTTGTTAAATAAATTTGGTAGACCTTCAAAATGTCTAGATTTAGATGTTTAGAATCGGATGAAGGATCCAGTATCCAAAGTATTATATTGAAAAGGCAGATTCAACTAAATTCAATTTAGAGTAACTGACAGTACCGAAGATGCATCATTTAAATTATGGAAACTGTACGAAATTAATGAATATAGATATTTGATTGGTAGCTGAGAAAGAAGTTGTAGTTGGAATTTATGGATAATAGAATGATATTATAGTAGAATTACTTAGTAAGAATTATTCTAATCTCTATCTTTATCGTAATGTTTCGATAGAAGATATTACCAAATCAACTTGTTTATTGACAGTGAATATGGCAGTTAACGACAAAATTTCTGGATAGTCGTCCAGGTAGATTAAGATTATCAAAGAAGAAATAAAGTAATTTTCTCCTAGCTCTCAATGTACTTTTTGAGGATAGTGAATACGATTTTAGAGTAGTTGCTATCAACAAAGCAGGACATTTCAACACTTTCGAATCAATTGGCATAATAAAAAGCGGAAGAGATTCTTACGACAAAGCAAACAAAAGAAAAGTGTATGAAGAATTGTTAGCTAATAGCCCAACTTTTAGATGTTATTTATAGTTGATGTTCACTTATTTCAAGGTGATAAATTTCATCGAATCCACAGGATTTTACATTTACTAAGACAGAAAGAAGCGAAAAATTAACAAAGGTGATGATCCTGAATCAGTTAAACGCTATACATAGCATAAAATTTCTCTAAATTTTAATATAATCACAAAATTGTTTGAACAATTAACCGAAAAATAACTTTTACAGAAAAAAGTCAAAAAGAAATTGTTATAGTTAGTAATTCAGCTATTTTACATATTAACTTAATTGTTCCGCTGAAATCTGAAATAGTATGGTTTCTATACAAAAAAAAAAACACTTTAAGAAATTGTCAAATAAATGCTTCAATTGTTTCTTATTATATTTTAGCAACTTTGAAGAGTTGCTATATTTTTTGTTAATAATTTCAGTTAAGTATTTTATTAATTAATCCTATTTGAATAGACAAACTTCCAGCTACCTTGTAAGCTAACGGCAAAGAATGTAGAAAAAGAGAAATTAGCTTAAGCATAGAACGAACCGAGATGTTATGATCATTGATTAGAAATAACTCTTGTTGAGATAAAATCTAAAGCTCAAACATCTTCACCACCGAGAAACTTAAAAATAACTCATTCGGTTTAATGATTTTCTATAACGTTTTATACAATGTAGTTGGTCTTTATTTAGCTGGGTCACTCGATATGCCTTTCATATAAATGTATAACAATACAGAGCATGATTTTGTAACCTGCTCGAGGAATTTTTAAAGAGACATAACTCTAGAAAAACGTTCGATATAGTTTTAGGATCTACCATCTTCAAATGATTGTGACTTAACCCGCATAGACAAGGGGATTGGTGTTCTTTAAAAACCTCAGAAATGCTATAATTTCTTTTCGGATTAGAGGGGCTTTTTAAGCATCCTTACTTAAATTCGTAGTCCAATGTGTCAAGCTTATCGGTGTCAACTACTGGTGAGGGTAGCAGATACGTCGTTGGATCAGGGACGATGGTTGTGGTGATGGTGGTCGCCTACCAACTCAAATCTACCACTCGCTTTAGTTCTAGAAAGAATTTTTAGTTATTTGTTCTCTACACTTAACAACTATTTAACAACAGGTTGTAGAAGATCGAAAATATTACTATAAATTGGATAATCACCTTCAAAGGTGTTTTCAGAAGAGATGCAAAACTTTCGTCAATCATATTGTCCGATTAATTAGTTCCAAAACTCAGCCTATAATTAAAACAACAACAACTCACAACGTGGCTATCACGTGACTATTTTGTATAAATATAGGAGAAAATTGACGGTGGATTGTTAGTTACCAAATTGAGAAGACCCCGTCGTTTTCTCTGTCAGATTTTTCTCTGATTTTATACATTTTTCAATAAGTTTTTTCAAGGATCTCGCAAAAATCAAAAGACAGAAAATGGAATTGTCATTTACTCAAACATTTGTCATTCCATAATTGATTTAGATGAAATGATTAACATGATTCTCTTCACTCCAAACACCTTACCAATACCACTTGACACTCATTTTGGTAACTTAGGAAATGCAACATGGCCTAAAATTGCATGTTGCACCCTTTTTTTAACTGAAAATAAAAGCCGATAAATAATTCGGTAAAAAGAACACGTCTCGCTTAAAGTTGGTCATGTTTTTTACGATGGAACTTTGTTTCATGCTCTTTCACCGGAAGTGACGTCATGGATTTACCATGTAATTCACCGAATTAACAAATTCACAAATTTCTCTTCTTACATCGACTACTAACAGAGTATCTCTTGTTCAATAAAAGTGAAATTTGCAGTATTAGTCATAGGGTAAGTATTTAAGCAAAATATGTGGCCTAGTATATAAAAGCATTTGATTTCTTTTTAATAATTTTGGGAAAAGCCGGTAATGACATCACTGAAAAACGTGAAATTAACGTGGAATATAGCATTCGAAAGTGGAGAGCGGTTTTAACAAAATGAAGAAATAGAACAAGTGAGAAAAAAAACATGTTTAAATTGACGTTAACTGAAAATAAAAGCCGATAAATAATTCGGCAAAAAACACATGACTCGCTTAAAGTTGGTCATGTTTTTCACGGTGGAACTTTGTTGCGTGCTCTTTCACCGGAAGTGACGTCATGGATTTCCACGTAATTCACCAAGTTAATAACTTCAAAAATTTCTCATCTTATATTGGCAACTAACAAAGTAGCTTTTTTTAAAAAAGAAATGAAATTCGGGTTATAAATTGCATGTAAGTATTTAGAGAAAAATGAATGATTCTAGTAATGATATAAACAAAGTATTTTTTAGTAAATTTTGGAAAAGCAGGAAATGACATCACTGAGAATAGGAAATACCCATCGATTATGACATTTGAAAATAACTAATGAAGAAATAGAAAAATTGGAGTGAAAAGACGTTTACAATGAGAAGCAGTATATCATGAAGAGCGAAAAGAAAGATAAAGGGAAGAAGAAAAGAAACAGAGAAGTAAGATTTTTATAAATGAAGTAAACGAGATTTAAGAATATAATTATTTTCAGTTTGTTTTCCTTTACATTTAAATAACACAATTGACGGCAATAATGAAGAATATCATGCTTTAAACCGAAATTTATCAATAGATTCGTTCGAAACAATATATACGATATACTGTATATATGTAGTCGATGGTACGTCGCCTAAATTTGGCAGCGAGCCAAATTACCTTACGTTTATATATACTTCGTTACGTCTATATGTTTAAAATCCATCATATTTCATTATCCTTTATCATTTCTATACGTCATTACTTATTATTACTGCTATATTTGCTAGTATATACCTTTAAACTTTAACGCGTTGTAGTAGTAAAGTCGGTGAAAATAGCCTTAACCTACGTCCGCTACTCATTCATCGACTACAGTAATAATAATTAATTGTGAAATACTGAAATGCCGAGAAAAAAACAAATCAAAACGGTCGCTAAATGCGCCAACCCTCCAAATCAATTGGAAAACCTCAATCAACAGGCCAACATGATCGACTCAGCTGCATTCGAACAGAAACTGGATGATCAGAGAAGAACGTTTGAAGATAAATTGGACGAACAATCAAGAAAAATCGAAGAATCGAACGCTCAGAATTTAGCGACGTTGGAAACAAAATTTGAGTCAAAATTGGAAGCAAACTTGAAACAAATCGTTCAAATAGTTAATTCCATTAAACTCAACTCTCACCAAGAAATACCGTTGAATTCTGGTTATGTTCCAGAATTGGAACATCTCTCAACGGTTGAAGAACAAAATGGCGGAAATTCGCAGGTTCGAAATATTTCGAATCCAATACAGGAAGCCGAAAGTTCTTCGAAACAACTCGATCCTAGAATCGAAAACCTAAGGAATAAAAAGGTTACCCCATCAGAAATGTTCAGTGGTACCAATTTTCAAGATTTTCGTAGGAATGCCATCGTTCCATTATTAGAATCCGACATTTCCGAATTGGAAAAACGTCAGATTTTAAAGAGATGGACAATGGAAGGGACAGTGTGCCACGAATATTATGATCTAGCAAATCGTAAATTCGATAGTGGGAATTTCGTACAATGCGTTCAGAAACTTGATTATGTTTACACGGATATATCATCACAAGGATGCAACTTAGTGCAACAAATTCTAAACAAAAGGGATCCATTCCAACATCGGATCTTGTCCTATTGGGTCGAATTTAGGACTCTCCTTACGTTGCTAGATATGCCAAATTCCGAAAATCGATTGAAATTCGAAAGGCTTAGACAGTTTTCTAAGAGATTACCTCATGAATCCCAATCTCTAGTCACCCAGTATATAAATGAATATTATGACGATTTTGATTCAATCGTAATTAAGTTGGGACAATACATATCAAAAGTTGCCAATGGAATCGAAGATGGGATATACATTCCCGAGAATACAGAGACAAGAGTTGTAGCTTCAAGTATGACAAAGGACGATGGTAAATTTATGAGGCAGACCTCCCCCTCTTTTTCACCTAACCGTAAGCCTTTGAAACATGTCCAGATACAAAACAAAGATAGGACTACACCTCCTAAAAATGATGGTAGATGCATGTGCGCTGAAAATCACATATGCCTGGCTTATTGTCCGATTTATATCAATCTTGATGTTAAAGGTAGGCAGCGAATGGTCCGACTGCTCCATAGACGTCAAAATTGTCTACGAAGTGGACACACAAGCGAAAAATGTTCATCAAGATATAGCTGTAAAAAATGTATCAAGCTCATCATACGACACTATATCATAAAGAGGCAACCACCCCAAAGGCAGTATCTGCTATCAACTATAATTTATCAAAGAGAAAGCAAGAAAGAATGACCGTATAGGAGACAACTGTTCAAATTCCAGCGTCTGGTAAATCGACAAATCACAAAATTACTGCTCTCCCTCGATACTGGAGCAGCAGTATCCCTGATCAGCCGATAATATTTAGAAAACATATCTTATGTCCCAATAGCTGAAAATTGTTGCCGAATAGACATCTCCTATGTCAATAATGATTTCCAGACGATAACGACAGAAAAAGTCAAGGTCATATTCCCTAAATTGGGAAGTAAATACGATGTTGATGCCTATGTAGTAGATTCACTGTCCACTATACCAGAACAACCAGCGATAAAAATCAACTCAACCTACACAGAATGATCACTTCCAAGTGGCAGAATCGACTTATTAATAGGTCACAACTCAAAACTAGATAGACCTCATGCACATCTCAGTCCTATAAACCTGTATAAAACTAAAATTTTACCTTCGTGCAATATGCACTAGGATGGTTTAGAACCACTTCCCCCTATAATGAGACGCCTTATTCGGGACGCAACGTGAACATGATCTATGCAGAGACTCAGCCAAACGTCCATTACATAATCGAGTTACCTGATGTGGACGATTTGGACGCAGATCCGCCATGCTCTATTAACGACGCCTGAGTAAGTGACATAATGGTAAACTATGTTCAGCCATCAAAAACTTATTGGACATTCCCTCTCCCTTTCAAATATGACCCGAACATACTATCTAACAATTACGTCATTGCAAAGAATCGATTTCTGGCTATTCGCCGTAAACCTATTTATAACGAAGAATACAAAACAGACATTCAATCCCTGTTTGATAACAGTTATGCTCGTCGAGTGCCACACAAAGAAGTCAAAATTTATCTACCCCACCATGGAGTATCAAACCCAAATAAGAAGAAAATCAGAATAGTTTTCGATGGTGCCGCGAAATATAAGGGTTATTCTCTGAATGACACTCTCATGACGGGCCCTTCCTTACTATGTAATCAAGCCCACCTCCTTACCTTGTGGCGAACTCAACCCTACTTCATTCTAGCAGACATCAAGCAAATGTTCATGAACATCCACGTGGACATTGAGCATCAACCCTATTTTGGTTTCCTGTACGAGGACCCAAAAAAAGAAAACAATATTCTATAGGCTGTCATGACTCGTCATATATTCGGCGCAGCTAGTTCTCCTTTTATTGCCTGCACAGCTCTTAACGCCACAATCAAACAAGTAGCCTCACTGAATAGCGAGGAGAAGGACATTATATTGAAATCCTTTTACATGGATGATCTAATACTGGTTGGAGACAATGAAAAGCAATTGGAAAATCTGGCCTTCCGCCTTCACCAGGAGCTAGCAGCGAAAGGTTTACCCCTCACCAAGTACTCTACAAATAATGAGTGGATAAGTACTCATTTAAAGTTAAACATCGAATTTATTCAACACCCTATCAAAGTTTTAGGCTTGTGCTACAAACCGCACCAAGATCAAATCGAAGTCAACATACCCGACCGAGTACCTGAACACATTACTAAAAGGCTATTCTATTCGATTATTGCAAAAATATACGACATCATGGGTTTTATAGAACCGATCAAGCTTCAAGTAAAAATTCTAATTTCCCAATTTCATGGCTTAAACTGGGACGATACAAGCCAAGATCAACAACATATTATTAAAATATTAAAAGATATCTCTGGTTCCTATTCAATCTCGAGATATATACCCTTTCCTATGCCAATGCCTCAGATATTGCTTATGGCGCAGCGGTATATGCGGTCCAAGCAGGAAAAGGCTACCTTTTGGCTTCTTCCTCCCGCCTTTTTTCCTTGCCGAGATCATCAATCCCGTGAGCAGAATTGACGGCATCGATTAGGGCAGCTAACTATATCAAACCGTATAATACCTTATTCCCAGGTGTTCCCATCAATATATTCATAGACAGTAAAGTGGTTATCAGCTATTTAGAGAATGACGACCTAAAACTTACTAAACATGTCCGCCATGCAGTAAAAGCAATACTGAAAACCAAATCAAAGGTTAAATGGCACCTAATTAGTTCAGAAGACAACCCAGCAGATTTCCTGACGAAATCAAGAAAGAGGATGAGAGAAAAATGGGACAAATTCCAGGAAATTCAAATCAAATGCGACGTGCAGAAAGTCACAATCAATATGTGCTCTGTAGACTCCACCTTTGAAATATTGGGAGATTGGAGGAAAATGAGACGGTCCCTGGCATGGATCTTAAGATTCGTGTCAAATACTCGAATCCAACCCTGTGACAGAATCAAGAACCATGAGTTGAATACTTGAGAATATCGCCATGGACTGTACCGGGCCCATATGTAAATCGACGGAGGGAGATAAAGTATACCTACTCGTCATCTCCTGTTTAAGATCAAGAGCAGTGCAAATTTCACCAACAAAATCCCTATCAACGAAAGCACTTATGATTGAGTTCCAAATATTTATGGACAATTGGAGTTGGCCTAAATCAATAATCTCGGACTCGGCCCCAACCTTTAAGAAACTATACAAACTAATGAACGATCATTACAAAAAACAATCCAGAGTAAAACATATTATCTGGAAATTCAATTCACCTTATTCAGCTCACAAAATGGGAGTTATTTGATAAAACCGATGCTCCTCACAACTGAGATAAAAAAGGACGCCTGCCTTGAGTGGGATATCATACGTCTCACGATTTCGGCTATTGAACATCTGTTAAATAACCGCCCCATAAGCTTTGGAATCAATGACTTAGGAGAACCCATGACAGTGTCACCGGTGGACTTCATAAAACTAAACAGAGTTCCAATAAAGGATGGAGAGTACGACCCCATCATTGTTACACGTGAACGCCAAATTCTGAACAACAAATGTTGCACGGAATTATTTAATGGCGTCCACAAACACATAAAATGTTTCAAAGACAAATACAAGACAGATCTACATCCAGGAGACACTATCCTATATCTGGATCAAAGATCGTCATATAAATTTAAATTGGGAATAATAACCCGTAAAATTACTGACCGAACCTTTGAAATGTACACTGGACACAGTAATATTGAGAGAGATGTGAGATATTATTCCATTTCTACCCTCTCCTCTCCTCTTCCCCGGCCAGTGTGGTCGATGGTACATCGACTAAATTTGGCAGCGAGCCAAATTACCTTACGTTTATATATACTTCGTTACGTCTATATGTTTAAAATCCATCATATTTCATTATCCTTTATCATTTCTATACGTCATTACTTATTATTACTGCTATATTTGCTAGTATATACCTTTAAACTTTAACGCGTTGTAGTAGTAAAGTCGGTGAAAATAGCCTTAACATACGTCCGCTACTCATTCATCGACTACATATATATACATGTATATACGATAAAAAAGTACATTTGAAAAAAATCACATCACTGAGAATGGGAAAATAATCGTGGAATATAATATTCGAAAGTGGAAACGACTGAAACGAATGAAGAAATATAAAAACTTGAGAAAAAAGGCGTTAAAAATGAACTGAAACTTTTCCTGAAAAGCGAGAAGATAGATAAAGGCAAGAAGAATAGAAATACAGAAGTAAGATAAAGGAAACATGATTTAAAGAATATAATTCTTTTCAAATTGTTTTCGTTCATATTTAAAATACAATCGACGACAATGAAGATTATGGTTCAAACCAAAATTTAACAGCAGAAGCATTCAAAATAATACAAATGATAGATAGGAAGAGACTCTTCCGAAAATTATGTTTTTTCGAAGGACATGTTGATAAAGGAAAAGAGAAGAATGAAGAAGATATTGCTAAACCAAAATTTACGAAAGAACAGAAGTGACTCTTCAGAAAGTTGTATTTTTTTTAGGGAGACATTGATATATGTGGGAAATGAAGAATGTAAAAGTGGAAATACTATCTTGAATAATGACAACCGTTAAATACTAATATGAATAAGTAGCTTTAATAACAGATTAGTTGTACTCTATATCCAAAACACGGAAGCTTGTCGCATAGACATATGTTGCTGTATAGCTTTGAATAAGCATGATGAAATTCTACTGAATTCCCTTTTGGAAGTTGGATATCCTTGAAAACATAAAAAATCCGAGTTAATTTAAAATGGAAATATATTAACAATGATATAACGAATGATGATAAAATACTTGTATTCAATTTAACACTAGAATATTGGAGTAGAAGAGAAAAATCAAGCAGGAAAATATATAGTATATTTTTATACAAAGAAACCCTTCGAAAAAGTTATAAATAAATGCTCTCAACTCTTTCCTATCAATATAAAGTTGAAACATCTTCACCACCAAGAAACTTAAAAATAACTGATTGAAATCAATCATCTTGTAAACTTTGTTGGAAAGAACCATAGAATTGACGTCAAGTTAATCAATTAATTAAGTACTATATTGAAAAAAATGACGAAAATTACAACCAATAGTCGTTACAATAAATCATCAGTTTCTGGTAAAATTCAAGTTTAAATTACAACAATTGATAGGAATTCTAAAATAAAGTAGACAGCATCAACAACAGATGAATATTCAAATTTCTGTTTGGAAAATTATCGATAATAACAAATATTTGAAATCTTTTGATTATCAATTGGAAACAAAGTTGGATCTAACTCTTAAATTATCTTATTTGAAGATGACGAAATCTATTTGATGGAAAAATTAGACGCTTTTATTAGCGATTATCGACAATCAAGAGAAAAAAAGCATTCCTTTTATAATGTATTGGACAACGTATTTTTTTTAGTGAATGAGAGAATCTCTTCAAGGAAAATTTATATACAGTTATAAAAAGCTATTATGGGGATGAAACTCTGACGTATGAATAGGAAGAAAAATTTTGAAGGCTTCCAGAGATCTGGTCACTAAGGCAGCTGAGATACTGCTGTATTCAGTTTTCTGTGACCGTTCAGGAAAAATATAGGTTGAATTTATTGAGTAAGGAGAAACAATCAACTTTATACAAAACATTAATAGTGTTGAAAGA